AGCGTCTTCCTGACTCTGTTCGGCCTACTTACAGTCCGAATCGGTCTTCGTGACGTCACTGTCGGATGGCCTTCATATTTCGACGGTAACGGTTATTGTTGGTTCGTTTGTTTTGGCTTCTTCAGCCTGGAGGTGTTTGTGAAGCGTCTTGTTCGTTGTTTTTGGGAAGTTCCATGGAGCTGCTGGCTTTAGTGGCGGGAAATTTACGTTAATTTTCATGGATTCAGTCGTTTGGGGCTGGTTTGATGGATTTTGAGTTGCATGTTGGTTGGATTTGTCGTTTGATTCTAGTGCGGATAACCTTTCGGATAGTTTTGATATGTTGATGTTGAGTTTTTGAATCGTGGCTATGGCTTTTTTGAATTGTGATTGCAGTGAGCCACGTTCTTTGCGGATAGTGTTGTACAAGTGGGTAGAGTAAGAGTACGGAGTGGATTGGGGGTATTTGCCAGACCCACTTACATGGCTTTTTTGTGATCCGGTCGTAGCCGGATCTTCCTGTGCACTTTCCATTGCACTAAATGTTGAGCTTTCCGGAGCCCTGCAAAGGGGGACCTGATGGAGCTACATGCTCGAATTTCTTAATTAGGTAAAAAACCGGGGCTTTTCGTTTTACAGGGGCCACTACACGCTGAAGTGCCAAAACAAGCTGCACCTAATACCAACAACTCCTATAATAAGGACCACGCGCTGATACGTGACGTCACGCGCTGGAGGCAATCGAGCACGTCGGTGATTAATCAGAAATAAAACACTTCTTATGGGCTTAATGATTTAATTTGCTTTTTATCGCCTTTTAAGCAATTATTGTAGTACGGATATTTTATATACACATCTGTGTAAACTAATATTCTAATAATATCACATCACTACATGATTTAATTAGTAAATTTCTGACTTGTATGAGTAGTAACTCATACATTATACTATATGTATATACTAACAAGATACTTGCCTGCAACTTTATACACAACAAAGTACTTTCATAATTATATTTTAGAAATTTTAGGTTTCAGTTTCCTCAGACAGTTTTATAGCATAGGTACAGATTAACTCCATTTAGAAATAAAGTTAGTACCAACTACAAGATACTTGCCTGCAACTTTATACACAACAAAGTACTTTCATAATTATATTTTAGAAATTTTAGGTTTCAGTTTCCTCAGACAGTTTTATAG